TAAAGTAAAAAATAACCAGTTTGGCTCAGTGGATAGAGCGTTGTCCTGCGGACTGAAAGGTCCCAGGTTCGATTCCGGTCAAGGGCATGTACCTTGGTTGCGAGCATATCCCCATTAGGGGGTGTGCAAGAGGCAGCTGATTGATGACTCACTCTCATCAATGTTTCTAACTCTATCCCTCTCCCTTCCTCTCTGTAAAAAAATCAATAAAATATATTAAAAAAAAAAAAAAAAAAAGAAAAGAAACATCAATGAGAGAGATACATCGACCAGCTGCCTCCTGCACACCCCCCACCACAACCAATGTACATGTCCTTGACCGGAATCGAACCTGGGACCCTTGAATCCGCAGAAGCTCTATCCACTGAGCCAAACCGGTTTCGGCTATATTTTTTTTAAAAGAAAGAAAATATGTCTAGTAAAAAGAAAATGACAACTTTGGTCTTGTTGCTTTCTTTATGTCAAGTAAGAATATCCCCTAATCTGAGAAAATATACAAATAAATGATAAAATAACCACCTTTCTTCTCTCCAGTTCTGTCTTTGGCCTAATGTTATCTCTGTTGTTCACTTTACAGGCTATAACTTCCATTATATTATCAAAGAAAAACAGGCTTTATGTAATAGCTAGTAGCTAGCACATATCTGAGCAAAGTTATTAATCATAAGAGTTTTATATCAACCCAGAACAGCACACAGAAAGTAACAAGCAAACATACTATTTTGATAATCAAAAGCTTAAGCAACCTTGGCAGAAATAAATGACTGATCAAAAGCAATGACATTTCACCTTGGCCATGTGGCTCATCTATGTTCCATATACCGAAAGGTTGCAGGTTCAATTCCAGCGTCAGGGCACATGCTGAAGTAGAAGGCTAAATCCTCCACCCAGGTCCCTGGCCCAGTTGGGGTACATGGGGGAGGCAACATCTCACACCAATGTTTCTCTCTCTCTCAGTCCCCACTCTCTAAAAAACAATGAATATGTCTTGGGTGATGATTTTAAAAAAAAAGACACCAAACAATGACATTCTGGTGTCAGAATCTACCAAGGGGACAAAAGAAAAAAGGAAGGGATGGGATGGTCAAAACCCCCTAAAAAGACAGCAAACAAAAATCTCTTCCTCCTTATAAAATATCAACCAAATAGAATTTAGATATATTCTGACCACATGACAGTCTGTTCTATCTTTACATTCCCAAATTTCACTGTACTCACTCCTGTAAACTGGTTTAAGATCATTACTTTTCACTAGTACAGAAGAACTGAAGGGATCAGCATACAGCTTACACTGTATACAAAAAAAAAAAGACAGACAAAAAACCCTCTCCAAAAATCCCTACCATTTGGAGTTATCAGATTACAGCACAATTTACTGGTGGGGTCCTGCTTAGCAAGAACAAACGCATCAGAATCAAGATCCTAAGCAAAATGCTTCAATCCTGTGTTCTCTGAGGTTTCCCTCAGTAGTTAAGAAAAAGTCAGGAAAGAAGCTGTAAAGTTACCTCCAAATCATTGTGCTTATGATAAAATCATATCATAAGGATGATAACTTCAGAAATGCTCTGGTGTGAAGCAAAAGGAGTTAGAAGTTCATGGTCTTCTAAGGTTTCAAGTTATTTTTCTTGGAGAGTCATGTGATTTTATCACACAGCTCTTATTTCAGGGGAGCAGTGTACACTTTAGCATTCTAACTTTACTTTCTAACTCCTCCACTGACTTCATTTCTCAAAAACAGAAATACTTTACTGCCTTCATGGCGCTAAAAAAGGGACTCAGCAGCTGGATTTTAAGTTGATGATGGACTAGTCAAATTAGATGGTCAAACTGTCAACAGCACTTTGCACTTTATCAGGGCTGATTTTATTTTTCAAGTGGTGCTGCCACTGTCCAAATAATGAGTACGGAGACAAAGGAAGAGAAGGAATAAATTTCCTTTACTCACCAAACAGCTGAGACTAGATGGCAAACTGCATCACCTTTTATTAACAAGTTTAAGAGCAAGAATACGATGATGGCTACTGCAAACAGATATTCATTTATAACTGCTTCCCCCAAAATCCAAACATGGTAATTACTCCAATGGGAAAAGATGTCAAACCTAGCTCAGAGCTTGGTTTGCTCTACCCTTGGCATTTCACTTGTCATCAGCATAAAAGACCAGCTCTGACTTAATGGCAAAATAACCAAGACAGGGGTTAATACTGGCAGGGAACAACTGTTTTAAATCACCTGTCCATCCTAATTTGAATGCCAATAGATTTTGAGCCTCCACAGGTTGTGTCTTATTTTAAAACATCAGTCATTCTGCGCTGAATCCTGACATTCTTGTTTTGTATCCATTTTCAACATTGCCAAGCAATCTTACTATTAATTTTAGAATTCAGAGTTTCACCAGAATTTAAGTGTAAGCATCTAGGAAAATAAACTGGTTTTAGGATGGTTAAACACACACGTCCTTTCTTTGAATTTCTAGCTTTTACAATTTAGGAAATCATAAACTGTCACTTATTTCTGCCAATGTCCTATTATTTCTCCTGGTACCATCCAGAGCACCACTCTCCTCTAATCACAAATAAAACTGATTCTGCCGAAACCGGTTTGGCTCAGTGGATAGAGCCTCGGCCTGCAGACTGAAGGGTCCCAGGTTCGATTCCGGTCAAGGGCATGTACCCTGGAAGCCAGCACACCCCCAGTAAGGGGTGTGCAAGCAGCAGCTGATTGATGTTTCTCTCTCATTGATGTTTCTCTCTCATTGATGTTTCTAACTTTCTAGCCATCTCTCTTTTTCTCTGTAAAAAATCAATAAAATATATATATTTTTAAAAACCTGGTTCTTATAGCTAGCCTCTTTTGCATCAGAATCAAACATCCTATACTTTTCAAAAACATCCTTGAAATGAAATCTTGTATTACATTAAATTTACCAAGCCAAAACCCAAGTGAAAATGCAGAACAAAAAGTCAACATTGCGAATTTGCGCACAATAACCCATGTTTTCAAGAATGTTTATAAACAGAATTTTTCTTAATTTCTTAATCCAATTGTATCAATATTTGCCAAAGAAGCAGAGAAGATGGGTGTAAAAACAAACGTACAAAAAAGGACTCTAAAGTTATTTATTTTCGACATTTTTACACCTTGATTTCAAATATCAACATAGTAGTCAAGGTTCTGAAATCTAGTATTTGATTTTCTGCTGAAAGCACAATAGGAAAAAACATACGATCTGAATTACTACCTGCAAATCTTAGGATCTGGCAAAAAACATACAAAAATATCAAATAGTGACATCTAAAAAAGACAGGACTGCTCTGACTGGTTTGGTTCGATGGATAATAGAGCGTCGGCCTGCGGACTGAGAGGTCCCAGGTTGATGCCAGTCAAGGGGATGTACCTCGGTTGCAGGCATATCCCCAGTAGGAGATGTGCAGAAGGCATGTGCAGATCGATGTTTCTCTCTCATTGATATTCCTAGCTCTCTATCCCCTTCCTCTCTGTAAAAAATCAATAAAATATCTTAAATAAATAAATAAGTAAATAAATAATAAGTTTAAGGACCACACATGACTATTTTTTCTTGGATTGGAGGGGGAAAAGAGGTTTTAAGTTAAGGGCCTACTATATTTATAAAAAAACAAAAAACTTGTCATTTTTACTTTATCCTTCTTCATACTTAGATGCAATATGAGTTGTTTTGGCTCTCTAAGTAAGGCTTTTACAAAAAAGGCAAAAATTACCTCTCAAGAAACTAAAAACAGATGTGCACAAATAAAACTGCAGCTTATGAAGAAGGTATCTGTGACCAGTATTAACTGAGCTGGAATATGAAAGCCAATACAAAATGGCAAGAATTCGATCTCAGGTCTAAGGAAATGTCAGCATCTCAAGTCAAGCATCCAACATCTGGCAGCCCATCCTGCTCAGTGTAGAGGCAACAGTCACTATGGAACACCAGACGTTTCTGATGGAAGCTCTGGAACAGTTTCTGACTCAAACTCCCCCCACACACGTTCACACCACGCATTTCCCCTCCCACTCACAATCTGTCGCTTTTCTTGTGGGCTCCTCAGACTCTCGATCTTCGATCATTGCTCGTTGCTAACCGTTCTGAGCTCCAGTGCCTGGCTCTGTTCTGCAAGTGCCACTTTCCTGACGCCACCTGAGCGTTCTTCTGGTCCATTTCCCATTATGCACTGTTCCCCCCAGCCCTCAGAGCCGGGATCCCCCCTAATTACCAACATCACCCCTCTCAGCCTCGACTACATCTCCAGGCGTCATCATTCCGCCTTCTCCCTCTATTTTGGGAGTATTTTAACCCTAACTTTCCACATTCTTCAGTCTTCCTTCAATACTGCCCATTCCTTCCCAAAGTTGGTCTAGAGATAGGAGTCACCAAGGGAGGATGTTTGGTAAAATATGTCCGTGCGAGCGCACGCGGGGGAAGGGGGGAGAGAAGGGGGAGGCGGGGAAGGCGGAATGGGGAGGGCAGAGGCACGAAGTGCGAAGGGATGACGCATTAGGGGGAGTCTCCAAGGAAAAGGACGCCCCCATCAACTCCCAACCCCCCAAAAACACTCCCAATTCCCTCAGCTCCCCAGCTATCGGAAGCACCCCGACACTCTTCAATTCCAAAGCTGCTCTTCTACATTTTCAATGAACTCCAGAACCAGCTTGGGATTCTAACTGCCTCTCACACTAAGGCCTCCAATTACTTTACTTTTCTCTGCTCCCTTCCATGTCCCTGCTGTTCCCTTACTATCCCCACTGTCCATCTTCAAAGTCCTCAACTCGGTCTCCTCCAAGACAGACGACGTTTTTGATAGCTCCCCTTTCCTCAATGAAGCCATCTTTTCCTCAGAATCCCCTGCCCACTCAGAAAGCCTATGTAGAACCCTCTGTTTTCCTCACCGGCAACTCTTCAGATCCCCCTCTCCCCCAGCCACAGGTGCCCCCCAGGTCCCGCTCTGGCTCCCCCGTCCCCGCCCCGCCCTGATTACCTGAGGACGAGGTGCCGGAAGCAGCCCCGGGCTCCACGGATGAAAACCCGGCCGCCGACGTCCCGGAGGCCGACGCCATCTTGGCAGCCCCCTCCCCCTCAGCGGCCTCACTCCCTTCCAATCCGGCCCTTTCTCTTCGCCGAGTCGAATCTTCCCGTCTCTTCACAAAAAAAAAAAAAACCTGCGTTCCGGCGGCCACGTTCCCGCCGCCTCCGAGGCCTTCCTCAGACACGCCGGGCAGCCTCCGGGACCAGCTCAGGGCCGCGCCACTTGGCTGGCATGGGGACAATCCACGTCTCGTACCCTCTCTGCAACTTGAACCGCTCTCCGCGGGAGCTGCTTTCCCCTCCCACGAGGGAATAGGCTCCAGCTGGCTGCCGGGAGCCCGCGTCCGCACCAAACCACTCCGAAAGCAATGAGGGGGCGTGAGAAGTCCCGGCAGAGCGAACGCCCCCTCCCCCTGCTCCCAGCCACAGCCTGTTTATCTCCCAGCCCCGCCGTTCCACTCCCGGCAGCCAGCGAACTCCGGGCCCTGCGCATGCGCCCAGCCTCCTGTTCCATCCCACTCGACGGGGGTGGGGGCAGCCCAGAGAGGAGCCGAGCCAATCGGGAGGCTGTTACTGGTCACATGATGCAGATCCACGCCGCGGCAGAAGGGCCCTATGGTGGCTCGGTGGGGTCAATTTAGTTCGGCTCCTTTAAAGAACTGGGTTGCGTCGCCTACGTTCCTTAGGAGTTGGTTCGATGGGTCCTCCCAATTTTGCAGCTTAGGGAAGGATTCCCCAATAGACTCGCTAGTGCCAAGTAAGAGACTTTAAGCAGTCAAATGCGCAAAACATCACATGCCACCAAGCATCCTTCCGGCTCTACTGCCTAATGTTTACTATTTAGTTTAACATGCAAACATGTCTTGACTCCCTCCGAATGTACATTTGAAAAAGATCTACACTTTGCCTCAAGCCAAAGGCTGGGCACAGTGACAGAGTTCAGGAAATATTTTATAAGTGAATGAAGACTTGTCAAAAAGGAAGGTGATCAAACCATATTATAGTCTTCCCGTGATCCAAGCCCTCAGCCTCTCTGTTATCTATACTCCAAAGGGCATGAAGACATATAGAAGCTCTCCATTCTAGTCTAGTCTTCGTATCAACCCTGCTCATTTTTAACAAAGCACCTTAGAGGTTGTGAACCCTGAAACCTCTTTCCCTAAGGAGACTGAACCCCTGGAGAGTAACCACTGTGTTTGGTTCACTCATGTATCCTCAAGCTACTCAGTACATAGTAGGATTTCAACAATTATTTGTGGAATGAGTAAATGAAGAGGAATGGCAAAAAAATCCTAGGTTCGGTAGCCCCCAATGGCCTGGTTATTCTCTATCCGATTCTTTCTGGGTCCTCAAAAAGGAATCTAGGACCTTACTGGCCAGAAAATAGCTTTAGACACTGACTACTGCCTTCTACCTTTCCCTCATTGAGGTCTATAATAATTGTTTCCCTGCTGCCACCTGCTGGATTATTCCTCTTCCTTTGGGTAGTGAAGGGTAGACTTCCAATGATCGGATTGCATTTGTAATTCCATAGCAATGGAAATGTGTAGCATTGAAGTATTTTATGATTACCTATACCAACACCCCCCTCCACCACCAAACTAAATAGTACAAAACCTAGAAGGTGGGTCCACACTGTCCAGCATAGGATTTGGCTCATAGATATTCAACAAATATTTGTTGAAAAATTACTTTTGTTTCCATAAAAGGCATGGAGTTGCTACCATTTCCTGAGTGATTTTAGAAATTAGCTTTTTTAGAGTCCTGGCTGGGTAGCTCAGTTGGTTAGAACAAATCCTGATATGCCAAGGTTTGGGGTTCCATCACCTGACCGAACACATACAAGAATCAACCAAGGAATGCACAAATAAGTGTAACAAATTGATGTTTCTCTCCCTCTTCTTCTTTCTCTCTCTCTAAAATCAATAAATTTTTTAAAAGAAGGAAAGAAATCAACTGAAGAGGTCAAGTTGTTTCTGATTTAAAAACTGGAAATGGCCGAAGTCAGTTTGGCTCAGTGGTAGAGCATCGGTCTGCGGACAGAAAGGTCCCAGGTTCGATTCTGGTCAAGGGCATGTACATTGGTTGCGGCACATCCCCAGTAGGGGGTGTGCAAGAGGCAGCTCGATATTTCTCTCTCATCGACGTTTCTAGCTCTCTATCTCTCTCCCTTCCTCTCTGTAAAAAATCAATAAAATATATTTTTTTAAAAATAAAAACTGGAAATGGACCAATAATGGACTCACTATGGCAGTAGGTCAAACAGAGGGGTTTCTCCCTGGGATTTGACCTATGAATCATCCCAAAAGAAGAGATCTGTATTTTGCAACTTCTTTCCGGTGTTTGTTTCTCTTTTATGGACCCAAAATGGCTACTTCTATTATGTAAGTGTGTTTACTTTTCTCCCTCATAAGACTGTGAACTCAGAGGGCAAAGATTACATCTTATCCATTTTTACATCTCAGGGATCTAGAATAGGGCCTGGCACAGAGTAACTGCCTCCTGAGTATATGAATGGTTAAAGGTAAAATTCAAAAAATTGGGCTAGTGGTGCCTCCCATCTTTTCCCCCTAAACCTTGTCTCTGCTCTCACTCCCACTCATTGCTGATGTGCTCTGAGTCATGGAGCCACTCTTGCCCAGTAGCATTCCTGGCATAGCAGAACCTCATGATGTCACAGGGTGTGGAAGTAGGAGCAGAGCAGGACATGTTGGCTTGGTGACTCCAAGGAAATAGAAAAGGGAGTTCACTAACATAGACTTTGGAAAAGGGGGGCAATCCAGTTATCTCAAAATAGGGACACACATACAGTCTTATTAAAGTGAACTTAATGTCTTAAAATAGTTCCCAAGATCAGAATGGAAGGGCTAGGAGCTGCCGAGATCAACAAAGAGGCTAAATAAGAGAATGTGTACCTAATCATTAAATTAGTCATTCATTAATTCATTTACTGAATTAACATTATTTAGCCCCAACAATATCCCCCACACTATGAGAGTTTTTGGTATATACAATTAAAGTCCCTGCCCTCAAAAAGACCACAGACTAATGAGAAAGACAGACATATAAATCATTAGAAGAAAATGTAATTATAGAGTATGTACAAGTGGTATGGTTTGACAACCATATTTTCTGAATAAAAATGAATGGGAAAAGCGCTGGCCACTGTGGCTCAGTTGGCTGGGTGTAGTTCGTGCATGGAAAGTTTGCCAGTTCAATTCCTGGTAGGGGCACAACCCCAGTTTTAGGCTTGATCCCCCATGGGGGCATGCAGAAGGTGGCCGGTTGATTTTCCACTCTCACATGGATGTTTCTCTCTCTCTCTCTCCTTTTCCCTTCCTCTCTCTCTAAAAAACAATAAAAATATATATTTTACATTGAAATAAACAACATGGAGGCTTGACAATACCACAGACTATTTCAGATTGGAAATATTCAAGAGAATCAGGGAGGTGTGATTTTATGACTATGAAAAGAACTGAATGGTTGTGCAGGAAGAGAAGAATGGGTGTGCAAGGAGACTTCATTGTCCTAGGAATTATAATTTTGCCAGGTAGATAAGAAAGGAAAGGGATTCTCAGGAGAAGGAACAACATGGAAGCAATACAGAAAATTGGGTGTTAGGGAAGTGATACTAGAATAGAATGATGTGGCATAGGTGAGGCTAAAAAGGCAGGGAGAGGCTAAACTTTGAAGGTTGTTGAGTGCCGTGTTAATAGTAGTAATCACCTATCAAATATCTATGTGTGTACTCAATACAATGTGAAGCATTTTATAAGGATTATATCTTTTAATCTTCTCAATAGCCTTCAAAATACAGATTCAGAGCAATTTGTCCAAAACCACACAGCTAGCATCTCTAAGTTCAAACTCCAACTCAGGTCTAGCTGGCTATATGCCTGCCCTTAACCAACACTAACTATTTTACCTAAAGGATTTTGGACTTCACCCTGCAGATGATAGGAAGCCATTAAAGATTTTTAAGCAGAGAGTGGGAAAGTCTGGGTTTTTAGAAAGATTCCTATCCGTAGCAGAGTGAAAAACAGACTGGAGCAGAGGGAGACTGGCCTCTTCTAAACAACCGTTTGTAGTCCTACATTCTGGATTTAAGGTAGTATAGCAGCGTCACTGCGTGGGATTATTCCACAACCCACGTGTGCACGAGTTAGGGCTGGGAGCCTGAGGCTGGGAGCCTGAGGCTGGGAGCAGCGCGGGAGTGGGCGGGGCTGGAGAGTAAACCCGGCCTAGGGGGCGGGGCCAGGAGCCCCTCGGTGCTCTGCTGCTTCTGCCTGGAGAAGACCGGCTTCCGCCTGCAGGCGGTGGTGTCGAGCGCCGAGCTCCTCGTGCCTGTGAGGGCCATTGATGGCGGCGCAGTCTCGGTAGGCGGTATGAGCTTGGCTGGGGGCCGAGCCCCACGGAAGACCGCGGGGAACCGACTTTCCGGGCTTCTGGAGGCAGAGGAGGAAGATGAGTTCTACCAGACGACTTATGGGGGTTTCACGGAGGCAAGCCCTGGGCCCAGGAAGAGGGAGGGAGACGGACAGCTAAGGGGGGTCCTAAGGGAGAAACCTCGAACAAAGAAGGGGGCGGGGAGTGGAGCGGAGCCCGGCCGCTGATACTGGAGGCGGGGTGGGCGAGTCGGAAAGAGCGGGGAGATACACCGGAGTCCTAAAAGAGGACGGGATAGGAATAAAGAAGCTCTCTGGGCACTACCGAACATGATGGAAACCTGCTGAATGTCTAGTTGCATTTTACTTCTGACGTCTCACACGCACGTCGTAGTGACGTAATACGTTGGCCCAGTCCCTTAAGTAGAGGGGCTTAGCCTAGTCCCTTCTCAAGATTTGAAATCTCAATGTAAACTTCTCCTTAGATAACCCTTTCTTGACTGTCCTAAAAAGTGTCCTCTTTTATTTCCTTCATAGAACATTTCTCTGTAATTAGATTTGGTTTGCTTTTATACTTATTTGCATTTATACTTATTTGGGTAGGCATTTGTTAAATTTGTATTGATTGAGTCTGTCCATTCTTT